CCCCCGAGTTGAGGGGAGATCCTCGCTGCAGAGAAGTGGGCGGAAGGGAGAGGTAGAACTGACAAGGTGTGGACATAGATCGGGTGGGGGGGTTGGAGAGAGGGGGAGAAAAAGCGAGAAGGCCATGCCCCCAGGTTTCTGACTTGCCCGGTTTGGAAGATACCGCAGCCATTTCCTGGGACAGGTAAGACCCGGGGGGGGGGGGGGTTGGCTGGGTCTGGGGAAGGTCATGAATGTAGTCTGAGGAGGGTCCCAGGCCGATGTCAGGTTGTGAGGGAGACCCGGGCGGCTGGAGCTTCTGGGAGCAGCTAGGCCTGGTGCTGTGGACAAGCGAGTCACCGAGGCCGTGTGAGTGTGGATAGCATCTCCCAGGGAGGCAGAGCAGAGGGGGCGGGGGGCTGCCTGCGAGGATGCTGACCTTTCCAGAATGAGGTGCTGTGGCCGGAGCGGAAAGGCCCGGGAGAAGGTGGCCGTCTGCAAGGAGGGGGTGGTTAGCCCAGACGGATGCTCCCAAGGGAACGACTGATATGAAGCCCTGCGATGTCCCGCAGTTATCGAGGTTGGAGCGTTGGGGAGCTTAGGGGGAAATTCAGGAGTCTGAGGGTGTGTGGGGGTCAAAGAATGAGCAAAGGCAGCAAATGGAGAGAGGGGAGAAGGGGCTGGATGTTGTAGCGGATGCCCCGGGCACCTATTTCCCTGGCAGTGGTGGGGTTGGCTGCTGACAAGTCCCCTCTGAGCCGCTCTCTAGAACATGCCTTGGGCTGAAGAGAGTCTCTTTGCCTGAATTCATGGGCCTTCCCCGACCCCACCAAGACAGGCCTCACCCAGTGAGTGGGTAAAAAAGTGGTTGAGAAAGTTCTGGCCCCCTTGCCACAACGTGGCCATCCCAGCTCCACAGCCGCCCGTGGGGTCGGTGGAGGCCGGGATGGGCCTGCCTCATGGCTCAGTTTCCCCTCAGCCTGATCCGGCGGCCTTCATCTCCCCCACCGCTAGGTGTGGGTCCCGAGATCGCTCCCTCTTGAGCTTTCTTCTCTCCACTTCTTGGGGAGGCTCACCTGACACGGCAGTTCAGTGAGGAGGAGACAAAGGTGGCCGATGATCGTGGATACCTTCTGGAAAAGGCCTGAGATTCGCCAAGTCCTGGAGAGATGTCTGCTCTGAGGTACCTGTGGCTGGGAGGTGAGTGAGGACGTGGTGAGCCAGCTGTACGCTTTGCTGGTGGGATGTTATGGGGTTCCATCATTTCTATGAGGTAGAGGTGAGGCCATCTGGAGAGAGAGAGAGAGAGAGAGAGCGAGGGAGCCAGAGAGAGCGCCCGAGAGGAGGCAGGGAGGGCCAGAGGTTTGAGGAGAATGAATCTGTGAAACAGGTTGCAGAAGGTGGGAGAGAACAGAAAGCCTCACACGTTGCTGGTGAGAAATGTAAAATGGTTCAGCTGCTGTAGAAAACTAGTTTTAGCTCCTCCAAAAGTGAGTGTCCTTCCGCCCCAGCAATTCCACGCCTAGGTGTGCACCCAAGGGAATTAAGGTATATGTGGATGGACTCAATGCTTGTGTTCCCAGCCCCCCCCCCCATTCATATGCTGAAGCCCTAAGTCCCAATGTGGATACTTGGATGTCGGGCCCCAGAGGATGGGGCCCCCATGGTGGGATTCAAGTCCTCTAAGATGAAGAAGAGATGCGTGTGCTCTCTCTCTCTGGCCTGTGAGCACACACAAGGAGGCTGCCATCTTGCAAGCCAGGAGGACTGCCTGTACCAGGCTGGCGGCCTCCTCGGAGACTCCCAGCCCCAGGACTGCGAGAAATAGTTTCTGTTGTTCGGGCCACCCAGTCTACGGCGTTTTGTTACTGCGGCCCATGCTGAGACTATGTGTCCACATGAAGCCTTGCGGCATTATTCACAATAGCCAAAAAGTGGAAACAACCCAAATGTTCACCAATTAGTGAATGAATAAAGAAATGTAGGGGCGTCCGGGTGGCGCAGTCGGATAAGCACCAGAATTTGTCAAATCGGGCTCTTTGCTGTCAGCGCAAAGCCTGTTTCGGATCTTCTGTCTTCCTCTCTCTCTGCCCCTCCCCTGCTCGTTCTCTCTTTCTCTCTGAAAAATAAATCAACATTTAAAAAAAGAAATTGGGACACCTGGGTGGCTGAGTCGGTTGAGAGTCCGACTTCAGCTCAGGTCACGATCTCACGGTTTGTGAGTTTGAGCCCTGCGTCAGGCTTGCTGCGGTCACCCTGTCAGCACAGAGGGGGACAGAGGCCATGCTCTGTCCCCACCCTCCCCCCCCCGGCTCCTTCCCCACTTGCATGCTCTCTCTCCCTCAAAAATAAATAAAACGTTAAAAAAAAAAAAAAGGAATGTGGCATATCCATCCAATGGTATTTATGTGGCTGCAAATGGCCGGTGAAGACATGCTGGCCCGCAGTGGGGAAGCCCAATTACAGTGCCGGAGCCAGGGTGCTGAGAGCCGGCAGGGGGCGGGGGGGGGGGGGGGGGGGGGGGGGGGGGGGGGGGGGGGGGGGGGGGGGGGTGGTGGCGCTGGACGAGCAGGTGAAAGAGAGGAAGGCAAGGCTCTTGGCTGCCCTTGGCACTGAGGCTGGGACAGCCTGGCTGGGAGCTCCCAGGCACAAAAAAGTGGGGGACAGGCTGGGAATGGCCTTGGAGGTCATGTGCTGAAGTGACGCGGTCAGACCAGACCAGATGGCATCTGGGTGGAGGAATAAAACCGGGAAGAGAGGAACCCATTAGAGGCGGCTGGGTCACCCAGGTGAGAGACTGAGGATGTCGGGAGGTGAAAGGAAAGGACGATGGGGGAGGGGACGGGACGGGTAAGTGGAGGGGCGAGGCCCAGAAGCAGGGAGAAGGCTGCTCTCGGGGGTTTGGTGCTGGCAGGCTGCACCCAGGGTGTCTGACAGCCGCGGGTGCTGAAGTGTCCTGCAAGCAGGTGGCCATTTGCACTTGGAACTCAGGGGACAGCGGCCCAGGCTGGTGAGAGATTTGGGTGAGCCATGTGCGGGCCTGGAAACTGAGTCCCCAGAAAGGAACGGATGAGGGCCCTTAGGGAGGGCGGAGAGGAGAGAGCAGTGGGCTGAGGGCACGACCCAGGGGGCATCACTATTTCCAGAGCAGCCAAGGACCAGTGACGCTGCGGACAGAGGAGCAGCGTGTTCACGGGGACACAGGGCGCCTGGTGCGTCCACACGCGTGAGGACTGGGCCTGTCCGCCGAACTTGGCAACCAGGAGGGCACTCGTTACCTTTTCTGGGGCAGCTTCAGGGGCTGAGGCCCGGCTGTGGGAGGACCTGGAGCACCTGCTCAGAGGGGCCCAGCTTGGGGAGAGGGCCCCCTGTGACGGCCCTTATTAACTGTGCTACTGTCCCTTATTTTTAGGTCTATCCCCCCGCCAGTTGGTGCTTCAGGAGGGTAGCTACTCTTCTTATCGATCTTTGTGTCTCCAGACAAAATCCGATTCCCTCCAAACATGCTCAGCGAGCACCTGGAGTGCTCCCGGTGCAGTGTGCTTGGTGCTGGGGATCTGTGGCCCCCACTCAAAGCTCTGGGCGGGGCTCTGCCACCAAGCTGCCCTGTGACCCTGGGTAAGTTAGGACATTGCCTCGCTAGGAGTTTCCTCACTGGCAGTGGGTGGTTTCTGATCTCCTCTTGGTGACGAAACGCAATGATTCTGGGATTTCTCTGCCTGTGGCGACATCGTTTGGTCACCAAGGCCTGGGCAGCATCAGAAGCCTGGGCGGGTGAGGATGGACAGGGGGGTGGATGCTTCCCAAGACCTCCCTGCCTGAGGGTCCTCGTACCTGCTGGGCTGCCACAGGCCCCCGTTCACTGTGGCCCAAAGGCACACTCTGTCCCCTGCCCACCTTTCCTGTGTCACCTCACACACATGCTCACTGGTTGTGTGAGCTTTAGTTACAGTGATTTGTTTAAAGTTTATTTATTCTGGGGCACCTGGGTGGCTCAGTCTGACTTCGGCTCAGGCCATGATCTTGAGGTCTGTGAGTTCGAGCCCCACATTGGGCTCTCTGCTGACAGCTCAGAGCCTGGAGCCTGCTCCAGCTTTTGTGTCTCTCCACCTCTCTCTGCCCCTCTCTTGCTCGTGCTGTCTCTCTTGCTCTTAAAAATAAAAAATAAAAAAAGCCTAAAAAATTAAAAAAAAATTAAAGTTTATTTATTTTTAGGGAGGGAGAGGAAGCAAATCCCAAGCAAGATCCATGCTGTCAGCACAGAGCCTGACATGGGGCTCAAACCCACAAACCGGGAGGTTATGACCTGAGCTGAAGTCAAGATGCTTAACTGACTGAGCCACCCAGCCGCCCCGATCTTTTCAGATTTTGTTCTCTCCACAAACCTTCCTGCTTCAGAGTCTTTGCACATGCTGTTCCTCTGACCAGACACCCTTCCCTTAAGTCCTCATCTTGTTGACTTCTCTTCATTCTTTAGTGCTTGGCTCAAATGTGGCTTCACAAAAGCATCTTAGGCTCCTGAGGCACAGCCACACCTGAATGACACGCCTTCAGGGCGCCTTGCGCTTTTTCTTAGCTTTTGTACATGGTAATGTAACCAAGTAATCAGTTGTTTAACTGCTATGTTCCGTCCTTAGGCCCATGTGAGGACTCCTTGCCTTGCTGTGGACCCTCCGCTTTAGAAGGTTCTACTCTTGACCCTCTCTTTCTCCCCACAGGATGAGGAGCCTGTGGGACCCCTTGGAGCCCTGGCCCTTCCCTTTGGACCCTGCTCCCGATATGCAAGACCCCAGAATTCTCTGCCCCAGCAGTCCCACGCCTGCTTCCTTAAGGGTGGGCCACATGGGTTGGCCACGGGGCAGCAGGTGGCAGGGGGTATGGGTGTCTGTGCTGGTGGACCTCCCCTTGTGGAGGGAGGCACTGGGGGTGCAGGAAAGATGGAGGGGGGCCAGGCTGACATCGGAGCCAGCTTTTCTCATGCCAATATCCCCAGGGAACAGAATTCAGAAGAGTCACAGCCGTTTAAAGCAGAACCTGGTCCTGTGGGTCAGTATGAACGTGTATTTGCCAAAGTAGGAGAATAGAACATATTTTTATTGAATACTTATATCTTGACTTGGAACTTTACAATATTTCGACACCTGGTGTGAGGCCTCCATTGGCATTCTTGTCCTGGCCCTGAGGGCACGTGGTGGGGGGAGCTTGTGTCAGCCACGGACCAGGTGCTGGGACCAGAGAGGTGGCGTGTGTGGCCCCCCCGCCCCAGCGCCCGGCGTCCCGCACGGAGGAGCAGATAATAAATATTGACTGTGAGAAACTGAGATGATCCAAGTGAAATGCTTGGCGTGGCGCAAATGTCAATAAATATCAGTGCTTATTGCTTGTAGAAGAAATGAGCAGAGCTGGGGCAGCGGGGCCGAGACCCATAGAGGGAGAGGGCATTGCTGCTCTGGGGTGCACACCTCCTTCCCAGAGGTTGTACCCTCCTTCCCCCCACCCTGTAGGCCTCCCCCAGCTCTTTATGACCAGGTGGGGGCCAGGGAGGGGTGCTGAGAGGGGCTGAGGGCCGCTGACAGGGCTACCTCCCCTCCCCCCAGCTGAGGCGGGTTTCCTTCTGCCCTCAAGATCTCCCCAGGCCCAGATAGAACCTACTTTCAGTTCTTTTGCTTTCCCCATAAGCCCATGATGGGGCTTGGAGGAGAGGGAGAGTTGAAAGGGCCTCCCAGGAGCCTGAGCTGGGCAGTCTGGCCGATCACCCGCGGGACCCGGAACAAGTCACTTTGCCTCTGCCTCAGTTTCTTCATTTGTGAAACAGGACTGTGCGTGGGAATGGTGCATGGCAAGTGGCCAGCGCCGGGTACATGCTTCGTGAAGATGAAGAACCCTGGCTCCGGACACAGTGAATCAAGGGAGGGCGGAGGCCTGAAACAGGGAAGCGCACCGTGGCCCACAGTCAGCCACTGAGAGTCAGGCAGGAGCTGCGCCCGAGGCAAAGCAGGGCAGCAGAGAAGGAAGGAAGAAGCGTGCTGCTTCCTGACCCATACAGGGCGGCGGCCCCACTGGGAGGGTGAACTTGAAGGCCTGAGCAGGTGCAAGCCCCAAGAAACTGAGAAGTCCCTCACTCCAACTCCTCCTCCGGGCATGGACCATCTGGGAAAACAAACTCTCACCCCCACATATTCTCTCTCTCTCTCTCTCTCTCTCTCTCACACACACACACACACACACACACACATACACACACACACACACACAGAGTAGGTGACTATGTGATAAAGAACTCAACCCAAAGAAGCCCCAAACAGGACAGGTCAGGGGGGAAAAAAAAATCACATTTTGCAAACTGCCCACCAGGGGTCACCACCCTGCACCCAGCGGTGCAGATTTCACATCTGCCTGCGGACCCGTGGGAGGCGGGGGGTCTCACGGATGAGTTCAGCCAGGCGGCCTGCAACCGTCCGGCTTCTAGGGTGGGACCGCTGTGGCGGCCCCCAGTCCCAGGTCCGCAGCGCCAGCGGCGGGAGCGACGGCGGGCCGGCTGTCAGTGCGGCGGGAAGATGTCTGAACACCGCTGCAGGATGAGCTCCACCACCTGATTCTGGAACACCATGGTCATGGGCATGCTGGTTTCCTCGGTCTCGGGCCTCAGCAGCGTGGGCCCGAACACTATGGCCACGCTCTGCACCGACATGCGGTTCTGATCGCCATGCTCGATCACCCTGCAGCGGGCAGTGGGGTGGGGGGTGGGGTGGCCGTCAGGGCCCAGAGCTGGAGGGGGCGCCCGCCAGCACATGCCTCCCCAAGCCCGCGGGGCTCACCGGCACAGGTGCTGAAAGAGCAGCCGCAGCGTGTCGTGGTTGGGGGCGGGCAGCGTGCGCACCAGGTCCCGCACTAAGCGGCTGCGCTGGGCCTGGTCCTGCAGCTCTAGGAAGGGAAGGTCGGCTCGGCGAGGGGAACGGGGGTGGGGTGGGGGGCGGGCTGAGTTCCCATGGGGAGAGCGGGGGCGGGGTCCAGCCAAGCGGGCGCCGGAGGCAGGCCGGCCCCACCCCCACCACGCCCGTCCCACCTCCCCCCAGGCGCTCACTGATGGCAGCGATGAACTGGCGGAAGTGCGAGAAGGGAAAGAGGGGCTCCGGCAGCTCTCGGAAGAAGAGCTTCAGGGCGCCGGTGATCACGTGGACGTCCTCCCAGCGCCCGTCCTCCAGGTCGAGGTGCTCGTCTGACGCATGGGGGAGGGGGGAGGAAGAGGCGGTCAGCACCCCTTTGCGCCGTCAGGCTCCGGGGCTGGGGACGAGGACGTCCTGCTCACCGTGGTCCACCTTATAGCGCAGCTTCTGGATGGTGGCCAGGTTTCCACTGATTCGGTACAGGCCGTCGATGTCCAGCCCTGGGGCAGAGGGTGGGGCGGGTCTAAAGCTCCCGCTATGCCTCCTATCGGGGGCTCCCGTTCTCCTCCCCCCCCATCCCCACCCTGCGTCCACCCAAGGCTCTCCGCCAAGGGGCCCCGGAGGGAGGCCTCCGGGCGCCGCGCGTACCCCGGGCCTCGACCGTGCGGATGCACTGCTGCACGAAGCGCGGCACCGGGCTCCTCTCGCGCTCACACAGCGCGGCCAGCGCGCAGCCGAACACCTGGTCTGGGGGAGAGGCCCGTCAGCGCCGCCCGGTTCCCGCCCCCTAGCCGACCCGCGCCCGCTCTCCGGCCCCGTCCCGTACCCTTGATGTAGCCCTTCTCCCGCAGCGACTGCAGTGTGGGCCGCTTCAGCAGGAACTTGCGGAGCTTGTGCCGGACCTTGCTCAAGTCGCCCTCCGGGGTGGCTGCGCCTGGGCGCGGGAATGGGGGGCCTAGTCTCTCGGTGGCGCCCGGACTGGTCGCGCGGGTCGCCCTCCCCGTCCCCCCCTCTACCCCGTCCCTTCCCACCCCCACTCCCTGCCCCCAGGAGACGTGCAGTGGGCCGCGCCTCACCCTCCCACCAGCTTCCCAGGCGCTCCCTGGACCCGAAGTCCGCGATGCTGCTCTCGCTTTCCTCCTCCGGGGGCAAGTCTGCAGACTGGAATCACATGGCCTGCTGGAGGTCCTTCTGGGGTGGGGTGGGGACCCCCCACCCACATCCCTCCCAGCGGCCCTGGCGACTCCCAGGCAGAGAGCACGCACCCTTTCCTTTTCCAGTTAACTCCCCTGACCTCCGCCAGGGGACTCTCAGAACCTTCTCTCCCCTTGGCTGCTCGGAGCCCTTCAGGTGTTGGAGACAGTCGCCCTGTTCTCCCACTCTTTCTTATCCTGGCCCCCCTTTCCCATATTTCCCTGGCTCCGCTGTGCACGCTTAACCAGGCTAGCGTTCCTCAGTATGTGGCTCCTGGTTCTGAACTTGCAGTTCCAGCTGAGGCCTCAGCACAGCCCACAACTGCAGCTGCACCAGCATCAGGGCCCTAGATCTGCATTCCTACCTCTAGTAATACAGCCAAACTCTGTACCTGGAATTGAGGGTCAAAAGACCCCCGGTTGTTTCCAGGTGAATGGGAGGACAGAGGAGGTCTGTCCCATCTCTATGCAATTAATTTTTTGAACCTAAAAAATGGTAGACTCTTTTTACTTTAAAATGTTAATACTTTAACATGTTATCTTGTGGTTTTAGCCTGTCATTCTAGTACAGAGGCTCTTTCTCAGATATTTACTTTGCTTCTGGCCTCCCTTGAAACGGGACATTCCTCTAGGATGTGCCCCCACCCCTACCTGGAGAACCTTCCTGCCGGGCCAACCCTTGCAACCCCACAGGCTGGATTTGCCTACTTAAGAAAGACTATTTCTCCAGCGGTCCATCTGCAGGGAGGGACATTTATGCTCCGATGCCCGCCCAAAGTGGGCCCAGCTGCTCTGTGTAATGGCCGGCCCACCCGCCCTGGAGGCCCTGGGCCCTGCTTACCAGCTCCTGGATGCCGTCGCCAATGGCCTTGTGCCAGGTGCTGATGATGGCCTCCGAGTCGTGCTGGATCAGGTACTCTGAGCCATCTCGGCTCCGCAGCTGGAGAGACACAAGTCACTAGGTCATCTCTGGTTCCCTGAGTCTGTCCTGAAGCAAGGCCTTAGTGGGGGGGGGAGGGGGGGAGACACAGAAGTGGTGGAGATGATCTGTCCTTGTCCCCAGGAACTAAGGCATAACAGAGCAAGGGCCTCACCCCGGGCCAAGGCATTCCACCTCGGAGTGCCTTATGCAGTAAGTGACAGCGTATCTGTTACAGATGGGCAGACTGAGGGCCTCTCCGAACAACATCCATTCCTATCTGAAAGTTTCATGTAGAAGGAAAAGCCATATTGTACGTATATGTGGCAATAGAGTTCATAAAGCGACCGTCCTGTTGAATGCACAGGCGAGCTGAGCTGCCCCAAACTAGCTGTTTTCAGAGGACTATTACTGAAGTTTTCTGTGGCTCTGGAGCGATGAGGAAGACTGGCTGCAAAAATTTGCCAGGCCACCTAACTTGGCCACGACGTAGAATTTGGGGCTGTCTCTTGAGAAGAATCCTAGAGGCGCCTGCAGGCCAGCCCTGATTGGAGGGAGAATAGCCACCTGCTGGCCAGGAAGCAGGGGCTCCTCCGTTTCCATTCAAGACTGTCAGCCTTTCCAACAGCTTGAGTAGCTTCCAGAAGTACCATCTGCCTTCCAGTTCTTGCCAGAAAAGACAACTCAGAAGCATTTATTCAGAAGCTTTCATCAAAAGCCAAGTCAGAGGGATGACATTTATAGGGCCCTGGATGAAGGATGTCCCTTGAGGTCAAGGAAGGAACACGGCCAGCAAAGTGATGTTCTTCAATCTCACTCCCGTGACAGACATTAAGCCTGGAGAAGACTCCAGGCCGGCTGATCAGAGCGCCTCATGGGATCAAACTGGTTTTCCAAGCCTGCTCTGTGGAGATGCTGGTTCTAAAACTGAATGAAGCTTGGTGAAAACGACATACTCAAGCGCCTTGCAGAATTGCATTTTCTGAGCTGAATTGTAAGGCTAAGCTTTTGGCTTTGATCATGTTACCTGAAGCAGCTCCAAGGATCCCTTACTAAACTAGAGTGCAGTTGTGCACTAAAAATTGCTTTGGGAGCTAAGGGTTGGGGGGCGGGGGCACCTGGGTGGCTCAGTCGGTTAAGTGTCTGACTCTTGATCTCTGCTCAGGTCATGATCTCACAGTTTGTGAGTTCGAGCCCTGCATCGGGCTCTGTGCTGACAGCTTGGAGCCTTTTCTCTCTCCCTCTCCCTCTGCCTCTTCCCCCTCTGCTCTCCCCACCTCCAAATAAATAAATAAATAAATAAATAAATAAATAAATAAAAGCTGGGGTGCCTGGGTGGCTCAGTCTGTTGAATGTGCCACTTCAGCTCAGGTCACAATCTCGCAGTTCATGAATTCAAGCCCTGCATTGGGCTTGCTGCCATTACCCTGTCAGCTCAGGGCCCACTTCAGATCCTCCGTCTCCTTCTCTCTCTGCCCCTCCCTCGCCCCCTTCAAATATTAAATAAAACACTTCTAAAAAAAAAAGCTAAGGGTTAGGAAAAAGCTTGATTTCCCTCAACATTTGGGAAAGTCCCCCTCCCCCACCAGTACTAAGAACGATGTAGCTGATAAGCCTGGACTCTCTCTTATTTATTTATTTATTTTTTAGCAACAACCTAGCACCTGTACATCAGCTGCCTCCTGATGCTGCTCCACACTGACCCCGTCCTCTGACTTGTGCCTGGTCCTGGCTTTTCCGTGGACTTTACCAGCTCACCACACGTGTTTTTGTCATGAGCTGCCTCAGAACTTCTGGGGACAGAGGTGAGGGTAGAGGTCAAAGCAAGACCACATGTGGACAGTGGAGCGTGTGGTCCCATGAGGTCCTTGCCTGGGCCCCACCGGGACTTTGCCTTCCTGCTAGGGGAGCCTGGGAAACTGGGGACCCAGCTTACTCACTGAGGACCCAGTCCAGTTGCAAGCTGGGCTCTGACCAGCCACAGCAGGTTTCCAGCTTGTCAAAGTGAGTATTTGGGGACCGGGAGCCTCCCATCTGGGATGAGGGCTGCCTTTCTAGGCATGAGTTTCATCCCCCAGAAACCCCCTACTTCTCACCACCCCCCAGAGCCAAAAACTAGTGAACCCCATTCCTGGAGACCGAACTGCAGAATCTGGGATGCCAGAAAGGCTTTGGAGGGATCCCTGGGGCGAGGGCAACCTTGGCTTTGGGCCCTGAGAATTCCAGTCTCACTCTCCCCTGGTTCCCCTTCTTGAGGCTTGCCCAGTGAGGATCTCAAGCCATCAGTAAGCCCCTTCTCCTTCGCCCAACCCTTACCACTCACCTCCAGCACATTCTTCCTGCTAGATTTGTCTTTGGGGGCCCAGGAGAGAGAGGCCCCCCTCAGATCCACTGTGTACTCGGGGGTGGAGAGCTTGGGAGGCTGCCTCTGTGGGAGAGGGAAGGAGTGAGGGGAGCTCAGACAGGCCTGCCAGGGCTCCTGGCTCCAGTCCACCAGGCTCCCTTGGCTCTGGGGACAGGACGGGGGACAGGGGGCCCAAGGGTTCCTGGAACCTAGAGATCTGGGCTGGCCGGTCCTTTGCTGCCTGCTGACCCAGGAGGGAAGGAGGAAGGAAGACAGCTCTCATCCCCAGGAGCAGGTGGGCCCAGTCCCCACTCACCCTGCCCACCAGGCCGGAATGGCCGCCCTCGAGGACTGCTCCCCACGCCCAGGGTGGTGGGAAGTGCCTGTCATGGGCTGAATCTGCTATCGTCACCCCCTGCCAAGGCCCAGCTCTGCTGGCACTCATGTTCCACTGTCTGGGACCTAGCCTTTGACAAGCCAGATCTGGTAAAGAGCTGCAGGGATCAGGAGCAAATGGGAGAGTCCCTGTCCTGGAGCCTGGGCCTTACCAGGCCGCCTGCAGCTGAGGCCTTGGAGTCCTTGAAGAATGTCAGGACGCCGCCCTCCAGCACGGTCCAGGAGGTACTCCAGTGCTTCTTCCTAGGTAGGGGTGGGGAAGGGGAGGTGGCCAAGCTTGCAGTGGGCTCCAGGCTGAGGCCCCCTTCCACCCACAGGAGCAGGGCACAGAGCGGAAGAACACAGCTCGGCTTGGGACACCCAACCGTGAGGGCTGGACTCCCAATTCTAACACTTGGTAGCCAAGGGACCCTGGGGAGATCACTATCTCCCGGTGCCTCAGTACGTCCTCACGGGGACCGCTTAGAAAGTTGCTATGAGGATTAACAAGAGCCTGGCATATGGAAGTGACTCTTCTTCTTGGGGCTGTGAGTTCAAGCCCCACGTTCAGTGTAGAGATTGCTTAAATAAATAAACTTGAAAAGAAAAAAAAAGAGGCTGGCTTATGGGATGTGCTCAGTAAATGTCACCATGAAAGCCCACCCTGCCCTGCTCTGAACGCAGACAGGCTCTCACCGGAGCCGCTTTCCTTTGTCTACGGTCTTGGTGCGATGGAGCACGCCGGCCTTGTCCAGGGTCTTGATCTTAGAAAGACAAGGGGAAAGAGGAAGCAGTAAGGGGGGTGAGCCACGGCGGGGTGGGGGTGGGTGGGTCAGAGGCTAGTCTGGCCTACAGCAGCAACTCCTTATAGGCTGGGCCTGAGTCACCACTGACCCCTTTTTGCAGCTGCCAGTGTTGGGGAGCCCACTCCCTCCCCAGCAGAAGAGACTTCCTCCCAGCTCCCAACCTTACCCAGCCTGGGCCTGGGGATGACCCGGGCCCGGGTTCATCCAGCTCAGGCTAGTGCTGGGGCCTATGGGGGTGACATGCTTGACCCCGTCCCAGGCCCCACGACCTCCAGAAAGCCCCGATTTCTTCTGCCAGGGCCTACATGCTCCTTCCTTTACCTTCTCCTCAGGGGGGCTGGCCGGGGCTGGGGCCTCACTCTCCTGGCTGGATCTGCAGATGCTTCGAGGGGCAGGGACAGGAACCTGGGGAGAAGAACACTGTTATGTATAAAGCCTTGCCCTCTCCCCAGGACTCTCCCTCCTTTGCGGGTTACTTACCTGGGGCAGCTCCCACTGAACGGAGGTGTCATCTGGATTGTAGAAGTAGGGCTTCCCGTGTTCGTCCTCCAACCTCACCCACTGTGGGGAGAGGGATGGTCAGGGCTCCGAGACCCTCTCACGGGAGGGGAGGAAAAGTTTCCCTCTAACCAGAGCCCGGAGGGGTTTGGTGGGTCAGGTGCAGGGGACGGGACGTCTTGGAGCTTGCTCAGGAGCCGCAGTTCATGGTGTTGAGGGGAGCTACTAGCGACGAAGAGCTGGAGGAGTGACCCAGGGGCCGTCTGGGCGCATCTGCCCGCTGTCCCTACCTGCTCCTGGGTGAACTGGTTGGTGTAGAGCGTCTGCCCCTCGGAGTTCACGTGGCAAGACCAGCCGGGGGGCGTGGCCAAGGGAGAGACGGACCGAGGCTCGCTGAAAGAGCCCACGGGGGAATAGTCCTCCTCGGGGTAACTGGTCAGCGACTCGGGGTAGTCCGTCTCAGGGGTAGGGGGCTGCAGGGAGCAGAAAACGGAGTCAGGATCTCAGAGCCTGTACAGCCCCTCCTGGCCCCACCCCCTCAGGCCAGGCCACGCCCCCTCACCACCAGGCTGGGGGCTGTGGGGAGCAGGAGGCGGGGTCTGAGACCTTCAGAGCTACTCAGCCCTGGCTCCGCCCCCTCCCTTATCCAGGGGTCCTTGCATAGCAGGAGACCCGGTCAGAAGCCCCTTAAAGCCACCCGCTCACCCCGGCCAGGCCCTGCCCCCTCCCCCATTCTCAGGGGCTGTGGGTAGCAAGAGGCGGGGGCAGAGGCTCTCAGAGACCCCGCCCACCCAGGCCAGGCCCCGCCCCCTCACCCGCTGGTCCCTGGGGCTGAGCGGGCTCAGGCCTGGCTGCATCTCCAGGTCGTCCTCGGGCTCGTCGTCCGGCTCGTCCTCCCAGACGGCCTCGCCCGTCAGCGGGTTGTAGAAGAACACCCTGCGGCTCTCCTCATCCCAATATTGGCCCCAGTCGGTCTCGAGGCTCTCGCGGCTGCCCACCGAGGTTGGGGAGGTGGCCGGGCTGGAGGCGCCCTCAGCAGCCTCGAAGGGCGACTCCCAGGTGGTCACGCCTGTGTCCGGGTTGTAGTAGTAGGGACGCCCGGTGCCCGCGTCGGTGTGCGTCTCCCACGACTCGCGGCGGGGGGCCGCGGTAGCGCCGGGCGAAGGGGCCGACGGCTGCCTCTCTACGTTCGCGTACACGGGCTCCGAGGAGTCGTCCACCTATGGGAGGAGGGAGCTGACGTGACCTTCGGGGCATCTCCGGGGTCACATGGTCCCGATTCGGCCACTTGCCATCTGGGAGACCTCTCTGCCTCTGTTCCGCACGATGCCTGCCCTGCCCGGTCCGGAAATTGTAGTGAAGGGAGAATGAGGAAATATTCTTGAAAGTGCATTGTAAAGTAGGCATTGTAAAGTATGAAGTGTCCCTGAGGCCTAGGCAGTTACATTATTTATTAACAATAATAAAATATCGATGAATGAGTTCTCCCAGCTATGCACTCACTGTGCCCTGGACCTGGGGCAAATCAAGGGTGGCGCAGGAATAGAAAAATGGACTGGGACCCATTCCTTTTCCTCCCCCATTCGGGTTACATAGGGGCAGAGCTCTGCTGCATTCTACAGCCCCCACCACTCCTTCCTTCCTGGCCCAGAAAGATCTGGGACTGGAACTTCCTCAGTGTGGGTTTTACCAGAATCAATTGCAGAGAAGGGAATGAGAGGGAGAGCCAGATGGGAGGGAGGAAGGAGGAGCCAAGAAAGGTGAGGCCGTCTTCCCCCTCCAAAGGAAAGGGAGGTGGGCTGGAGGGTTCAGTCACACAGTAACAACCTTACTGCTCTCTGCTGCCTGCAGGACAAAGTCTAAGCCTTTAATAGGCCACCAGAGGTGTCCGTCACACCTGCCTGTCTTCCATCTTATTTCCTGCCATTCCTAGCCCTTTGCCTTGAACTTTACGCTCCAGTAGCGCGCAGTTGCTGGACGTCCCACCCTCTCTCCTGCTGTCTTTTATCACAGCCTGCCTAGGCCCGTCCCCACCCCTTTCTCACTTGGCAGACTTGGCTCAGGTGTCAGGTTCAAGGCCCTTCCTGAGCTTCCTCTATCTAGTGTGTCCACCACAGCCTAGCACACTCAGCCCACCAGAGAGATAGATAACCACATCACCAGATGCCAGGCAGAGTAGCACCAGAACATGAATATTGTTTTCTAAGAACATACAATGCTCTGAGGGAAACGAAGATTTCAACACGGTAAGCAGCACATAGTTCCAATTATGTGTTTTTAGAAACCCTCCAAAATGCTAACAGAGGTTATCTCTGGGCAGTGTAATGATGGGGACTGGGTTTGTGTTTTTTTTCTTCTTTAAACGTTTCTCTTTTCTTCTTTAAGCATTTCTCAAAATTTTGTATAATAACCACCCCACCCCCCTTTTCTAATCACAGCAGTCCCTCTGTTGCCGTGATGCCTTCGCTGAGCTGTAAACTCCCCAAGAGGGGAAGTGGGTCCTGTCAAGGTGGCGTCTCCCCAGGCCTTAGGTAGGTGCCTAAAAATCCATTCATTTGTCCCACGAAGACTCACCTGTTCAGTGCAGGCACCATCCTGGGCCCTGGGGATTCGGCAGTGAACCAGTGGACCCAAATCCCTATGAGGCAGCCGGAGTCAATGGCGGGGGGAGCGGGGGTGGGAGACGAGCAGGGGACTGAGCGAAATGCACTGCTCACAAGGAGACCGAGCAGTTTTAGGCAGGTCCCAGGCACTGAGGGAGCAGGAAGAGCTGGGCACGCCAGTTCCTCACCCCTCTCCCTCACCCCAGAAGCTCTTGCGTGGCGGAGACGGGACCTCCCACCCCACTTCTCCTTTCGCTGTGCCCACTGCAGCCCTCCTGGGCACCCTGGATTTCACCTGCATCTGCTCGCCGACCCTCCCCCCCAACACACACAAAAGGCATCTTCCCAGCTCTGTACTTTCGCTCCCGTCGGTCTCCTGGCTTGGAAGACCTTGCTCTCATTCCCCGCCTGCCCAAATCCTGCTGGCGCCCGGCTCCAAGCCTCCTGGAGAGCGTTCCGCCTTGCTGGCCAGTCCATCGTCCACCCATCTGCCTACCTCCTCTGACCCCAGAAGGCAGGAGTTTTTTGAGAGCAGGACCCAGGATGATGGAAGTGGCCTCAGTCACCCTCCAGCAGGCAGCCGGTGCCCTGAAGCACACAGCCCATCCGCCAAGGATACTGACTGCTCGAGCGCACCAGCCAGTCCCACGCCACACTTCCCGACACACAGCACGCATCTCTGACACCACAGGAGAGGCTGGAGTCAGCTCTGAGCAGGGACTTCCTGGGAATGAGGGCTCTGCACAGGAGCCAGGAGACTCCTGGGGAGGATGGGATGGAGGCAGAGGAAGGTGGGTGACTAGACGCACCTCCTACCCAGCCCAGCTGGACCCACTGAGGCTGGAAGGTCATGGGGGCGGGTGGTGAGCTAAGGAAGGAGCCAGGCGCTTTGGAGCAGGGATTTCTGCCCAGCAGGCTGCTAGGCTTGGCTGGGAGTCCTCAGGGAGCCCCAGGCTGGGCAGGTTGGTGTGGATCTTGCACAAAGAGCAGCCCTAGCAGGTACAGAGGGGACATAGGAGCTAGATGCGTAGGCCCCCAGCATGATAGCGCCCTCAGGAGGAAGGGAAGATAGAGAATCACCCTGCGGGGCTCCAGGCCACAGATCAGAGGCCCAATGGGAGTGAGGCAAGATTCCGTGGAAGGAAGCACATTCTAAGGGTTGGGGCTGCCTCAGAGACATACTCCGGAGGTAGTAAGGGGCTTTCACTGGAGGGGAGCAGTGAGGGGTGTATCAGCCCTGTGGAGGGAGCTGGGCTGCAGCAGCCCTGAGACCCTTTCAAACTCTAGAACTCTCTGTGGAACCCTCACGGGGCCAAGATAGAGGCGTTTTCCTCTCCTAGCAGAGCCACAGCCAGGGTCAGACTGGAAGCCAGGTGGGGACAGTCCCTCTGTGCCTTCTGGCCTTCAAGGGGAGGCTGGCCCAGGTTAGAGCAGGGCCTGGGACTCCCTGCCCACAGCTGGCCCGGGGTTACAGCAGGGCCTGATGACACCCCACTGCAGCCCATCGACAGACCCTGACTAGGGCACCAACGGCTCTTGAGGCCCAGATGCCTATCGTGACGGAAACACGGGGGACGCCAAGTTGGGAAGGGGAAGTGATCTCCCACCTCAGGCCAGGGGACAGAGCCAAGAGGCACCCTGGCTTACACCGCACCCAGCTGCCCGGCCCCCCAGCACCCCCGTCTCCAGTTCCCTCCCTGACCCACAAGCGGTGGCAGGCCTGCCTGTCTTCCCCGAAGCTGATGGCAGCGTCTCTCGGTGCCCCTCCACAGCCCCTCTCAGACAGGCAAGGCCTTGGGGAAGGAAAGAGGCAAGAAGGGAGGCGTCCCCCAAATCTAGGAGAGGTCCTGCTCCAAAACCCGGCGCACCCAGCCCCTACAGCGCCAGAGGATGGAAGCCCACGAGTGGCCCCTTGACCCAGACGCCCTCAGCCGTCCCCATCAGAGGCCAAGCCTGCCTCCCAATGCCAGGGTCCCCTACCTGTCCCCGCAGGGCCTGACTCTGCCTCCTGGTCAGCTTGGCAATCATATCCACCATCCTGTCCCCACACAGCCCCTGGGACGGAGCCCTGGGAAAACTTCAGGGGTGGAGCCAAGGGGTACAACCCCAGGGCTAGCACAGGGCAAGGGGGAAACAAGAAGTTACTTTGAGATGGCGGGAGGCTGAGCCTCCAGCCCATTTCCTGTCGGGGCTGCGGAAGTGCTGCCTGGGGCAGAGGCTGCCTGAGATGGGGCGGGGGCGAGGGAGTGGCGTCTCAGGCTTGGGGTATTTTTATTTGTCCAGGGATGCACTGGTCTTCCTACCCTATGCTCTGATTCCTGGCAAGTTCTGAGTCCCAGGTCCAGGTACAGCCGTGGAGCAGGACGACACTGGGACCACAGGTGGGGGAGGGGTAGGCTGCGCGGCTGGGTGCAGGCAGAGGGGGCGTTTGGGTGCCACGGCCAGGGTCTGAGCTGGCATAGACAGGACATGGAGTGGCCACCAACTCCCCCCCCGGGGCCCAGGGAGGATGTGATGGGGAAGAGGAAGCTTGTGTGTATGTGTGTGTGTGTGTGTGTGTGTGTGTGTGTGTGTGTGTGTTGTGGGGTGCGTCTCAAAGAGGAAGGGTCTGGGCAGATGTGGTATCAGAGCGAGCCAGTGTCTGGAATCTTCCAGCCACACAGTGAACAGAAGGGATTCTGACCACACCACAATCTACTCGCCTGACTGCCTCCTCCAGCCTGGGTCACTGAGATGCACACACCCTCCCCACCCCCCCCCCCCACCGCCTGCATGTCCACATACTTGCACAAGTCTGCCTGTGCCCCCACTCGCCGAGGACCCAGAGAAGGGGTCAGGGGCTAGCCCCCCCCACCCTTATACCAAGAGTTTCCTCAGGCCTCTCCTCTCTTTGCCCTCTCACCGGGTGGCTGTCCAAACCCCAGCCCCGCACCAGGGGCACAGTCTGTCCTGGGCAACAAGCCCCGAGCCCCTCCAAGATGAGGACGGCTTTGTCTTCCTGATGCCCTCAGAGCTGCTTCCCCCACCCCAGCCCCCAAGGTCAGGGGCACGCTGCCACCACCCATCTGCCCAAGGGTTTCCCGTAATGGCTGACCAGCTACCGGCTCGGGCTCTGGCCCCCGCCTTCTACCCCCGATCCCAGACCCCTCACCCCTCATCTTCTGCTTTTCCATTTCAGTAGCCGCCCTGTCCCCAGCCCGGGCCCTCCTTTCTCCCCTGCCCGTGTCCCCCAGGCCGCTCCTTCCCTGCACCTGCTGTGGACTCAGGACAGGGACGCCTAAGTAGAGCTAGGTGTGGTGTCGGCTTGGGCTGTGGGACATCTGGACAGACCACATCCGCGGCGGGATGACACTCCCCTAGCTCTAGTGACACTCCCCTAGTGTCCCTGGTGGGGCTCAGAAGCCTGGAACACCAGAGGCAGAGAGGCCTGGGGTCCTCCCACTTGTCACACACATGACACATCCCACTGTCCCCACCCCGAAGGACATGGGCCACACACACACACACACACACACACACGACAGGTCACCAAGAGGGAGGGAACAGCCTGTGTACATTCCAGAGCGGCCAGGAACTCGGAGCCAGAAGCAGGGAGGAGCTGGGGCACGAAAGGGGAG